TGATACAGGGAAGGGTCTGCCAACATTCCCATTATAATCCTTAAAGGGAATTCTGATATTTTAACGCACATGAAATTGGCATGTAGATTCTCAACAAGATGTTTTTTTTTTTTTTTTAAATATTGAAATAAAAGGATCTAAATAGCGTCGGCTGGCTTTGATTAGAAGGCACATAGCACGAGAGTTCTGGTGTGCTGTTAGCCCTCATGATGTCACTGGGATGACTGTACTTGTTTCAGTGACATTGAAGTGCCTCCAGAGGATAATGCCAAAGGAGAGATTTTATTTCCAGGAGTACTAACAAAGGTGCAGCATCCAATTTCTTCAAACTATTATAGAAACTACACATGTAATACTGAATCTTATTTTAAATCATTCTGCTTTTCATTTTACAAGGTAGAAAGCTGTCACAGACAAGAGGGTGTATTGCATCATGGTAGAAACACAGGCTCTGGAGCTAGGCTGCCCGGGTTTGGATCCCAGATACATTTAATTCTTAGCTATGTGACTACAGCCTCTTAATGTGTTTTCTTCCCTCACTATAAAACAAAATCCATAGTAATAAGATAGTAGGTTTGAGTATTTAATGAACTAATGTAAGCAAGTGGTTAGAACAAACAGCAGACAGAAATCACTCATAAAATATTGAAAACTAAGCAAAAGCAACCCACTATGCTTGTACCCATTCTGAATAAAAATCTACTCTTAAATTGTACAGGAAGGAATAAAGTGTGAAATTTCTCTATCTCTCTCTGTATGTGTATGTGTACGTGTTTTTCCCTCTAAAATATAGGTCCTGAGAAAATCAATAAATTAATTAAATAATTAATTTAAACATTAAATTAGATTGGTTAAATGTTGAAGATGATGATGATACATGTATTTCTTAGACTTTTTAATATGTTTGTGAAAGAAATCTGTATGAAAAGTATCAGGGTGGCAATGGGACAAATGATTCAGCACAGTCACCAGGCACTATGACTTGGGTCAGGAGCCATGTTGTCTCGCAGAAGTATGATGGGAGTCATGTATGTAATGGTTTCTTAAAGTTTATGCCATGTACTCGTCATGGCTTTAATTCCTTTGTGGATGGGAAGTGAATGTAGATACAAAATTTCATCCAGACACTGTTGTGGAAAAAAATGCCAATTACTCCCTAATGTTATGTTCGAACTTGTTGTTTACTAATTATTATTCTGTAGGAAGGAAAGAAGAACATCCATCTCCAAAAATTGCCTGAGCACCTCAGTGCAGCTCCTTAACACATCAACACTCAGTCTTCCTTTTCTAGATACACTTTTATTTTATTTTATTTTATTTTACTTGACAGAGAGAGAGAGAGAAAGAGAGAGAGAAAGAAGCAGAGATACCCCATCTGATTCATCCCCCAGATGCCTTTAACTCCAGCACTGGGCCAGGCCATGACCAGGAGCATAGTGCTAGGGGATGTGGGAGTCCTCCATTAGCAAACTGCAAAAGGCAACTTGTAAGGGATGGTGATAATATGCACCCAAAGGCATACACAGTGTTCAGTAAAACACTAAGTTCTTTCCTTTTGCTAAGACTTCCACGTTTTCTCTGACTGACATTTTTCATAACATGAGGTTGCCAGGGCTGGGGCTGGGGGCCTGAGACAGGGGTTGTGGAGTGCCAGATGTGTGGGGGCTGCATCCTGTGGTTAGTTGTCCTGCATCTCCAGGTAGTTCGTCTAGGCTTCTCCAGGTCTTTCTCTCTGTTCTCCTTGGATGCCAGAAAAAAGCAAAAGCATAGGGGCTCTTTTGTATGCTTTTAGCTTACGAATGGTATTATTCTAATTATAGCAATTTAATGACCTTTGGGGAATTTTAAGCACTAGTTGGTTCTTTATACAAACTTAATTTATTACACATATTAAAATATTTAAAACTGCACTTATTAACCTGATTTCCTGTGTAGTTACTTCAGTTAACTTTTAAATAATTCAAATAATGTCTTCCTGATGGAGTATTATTATAACAAGTTAAATTTGTAAATAGGGCAGACCTGAAGTTCTTGTAAAAGCTTTAATACTATAAACTTAATAGGATTCCAATCTAAAATCTTAAGTCTAAGTCAATTATCCAACTACTTATTTCACATTAGATTTACCATGAGAAGATAACTTCTTTTCTAGTTTACAATTACACAAAATATCAAATATACACAGATTTTTTTCATAGTAGTAATTTTTAGTCCTTTAAAGTGTTTTTTATATTAAACCAAAATCCTCTAAGAGTGGGTTGATGCTTGGCACAGGGAAAGGAAAGGAATTACTTTTGCAGTTAATTGAGGTAGATAAACACCTGATATTTGCACGAAAAAGTTGAGGAGATCCTTCTCCACGACCCTGATGAAACACACTGATGTATGTTTACAGTTGTTACAGCAGTAGTTCCAGAACTCACCACAGCGATCCCCTTTGCCCATTTATCTGAGCTCTAGTCAAAATACATTCCCTCATCTTTCTATCCACTCAAGTTCTGAAGTACTTGCTCTCATTTGATTCAATAGAGACTTCTAAAAATTTTTACTTATTTATTTAAGAGATGGAGAGAGAGAGTGAGAATTAGAATACTTATTCATTGGTTTACTCCCCAAATGTCTGTAGCAGCTGAGTTTGAGCTTATTTATTTATCACCAGGAGACAGGAGCCTGATCCAGGTTTGTCTCATGGGTGGCAGGGACCCCAACTACTTGAACCCTCAATGTTGCCTCCCAGTGTGCTCATTAGCAGGAAGCTGGAGTCAGAAGGCAGCCCCAGAACTGGGAACTGAATCCAGGTACTCCAATGTGGGAAATGGTCATCTCAGCCATAAGGCTAACCCCACACTCCACTCTACTCCACCACCACAGCCAACAACACAGTATGGCATTTTGATTCCCAATTTAAATAAATGAGTTTTTCTTTTAACCCTAAGCAACTGTAACTTCAAATCATTCTCAAATTACATGAAGTTAAAGGCTTTTCTATTATTATTTTTTATTTATTATTATTTTAAAAACTTTGTACTTAATGAAGTGTCCCTATTTAAATGTTCTTGGGACTATATAATTGATATGGATATCTGAATACTTGATTAAGCTGTAATTTAATGACTTTGTCTTGCTAATGATCACAACAGTCAACAATTAGGATTTTCCTCATGCTATGTCCCCTTCTGTCATACACATTTTGCTTCAGACTTATTTCGCGTTCTTTCATCTCTGTGCTGTTCAAGTGAGTCAGAAACATCAACATGGTGCAGTAACAAAATTCAACAAGGATATGCATACTCTCTTTCCTTAGAATATGTTGGAGTTCTTTTTTTTCTTTTTATGTAACAGTGTAGATTTACAGATTTTCATATTCTTGGTGCCTTCAATCAATCATAAATCATAGTATTCTCCTTTTGGTGCTTACATTATAGCAATTATTTACATTATGGCCTGTATTCAGGGAAGCTGAGGGAAGGGACAACTTTTAAAGGTAAAACGATGGGAGTTGGCATTGTGACACAGAAAGTTAAGCTGCTACTCTGAGTACCAGATCAGTCATGGCTGCTCCACTTCTGATCCAACTGACTGCTAATGTGCCTGGAAAAACAGCAGATGATGGCTAAAGTGCTTCAGACCCTGCCATCCACATAGGAGACCCAGATGGAGTTCTAGGCTCCTAGCTTTGGCCTGGTACAGCCCTGGCCATTGCTGCCCTTTGGGGAGTGAACCAGTGGAAAAAAGATCTCTTTCTCTCTTTGTTAGTAACTCTTTCAAGCAAATAAATTAATCTTTTTAAATAAGGTAAAGTGATGAGATTCACATAAATTATTTTGAAATAATAATCGTAGGCCACAAAGATCAAGTAAGATGACACCCATCTGAGGTTGAGCAGGCAGTGGTACAGATGTCTTTACAGAAGTATTTTTAATGTAAATGTCATGATAGTCTGTCTTCAAAGTTCTGGCCATCTTTTGGGAGAGTTCAGGTATGTGTGCATGAGAACCCCTCCTTTATAACCTGCTGGCTTTATTTATCACTGCTCATTCTGGTTAGGGTTTAACAAAAGTGCCTCCAGTTTCATTCCGACAACTTTCATAGCACTAAGAGAAATCAAGGTAAAATGTCACTTTTGGGTCAAATCATTGGACCAAGCTCAGGAAATATATGCATAGGGGTGATATTTGCAACTTAGTTCTAACAACAGGGTATATCCACATTTTTAATTATAAAAGTATATCTCTTTGGCCGGCGCCGCGGCTCACTAGGCTAATCCTCCGCCTTGCGGCACCAGCACACCGGGTTCTAGTCCTGGTTGGGGCGCCGGATTCTGTCCCGGTTGCCCCTCTTCCAGGCCAGCTCTCTGCTGTGGCCCGGGAGTGCAGTGGAGGATGGCCCAGGTGCTTGGGCCCTGCACCCCATGGGAGACCAGGATAAGTACCTGGCTCCTGGCTTCTGATCAGTGCAATGCGCCGGCTGCAGCACGTCGGCCACAGTGGCCATTGGAGGGTGAACCAACGGCAAAGGAAGACCTTTCTCTCTGTCTCTCTCTCTCACTGTCCACTCTGCCTGTCCAAAAAAAAAAAAAAAAAAGTATATCTCTTTTCCCTTTTGAATGAAAATCTTAGCCTTTGGGGAAAATAACTGAAAGTATCTTTAATGAAAATCAAAATAACAATGTAAATTATAATGCAAACAGTAGAGTTCCATGAATGATGTTCAAAGTTTTGCATGTAGTCCTAGCTGTGCTTTAAACGCACCCTACTGTTCAGTTGTATAGCAAGGTGAGGGAGGGTAGTGGCAGACATGTGCCCTGTGGAAGGAGCTCACTAATTGGTAGAACTGTTGATGCTTGGTGATAGTATAGAGCAGACCAACACTGAGTGATTTTTATTATTGTCCGTCAATCCTTTTTGGGAAGTGCATGTTTATTGTCTGATCCCTTCTTCTCCTACCCCCTGGATCCCTTCTTCCCCTCACCCCCATTCAGGACTGATTCCAGGTGTGAGCAACCAACTTTATTCTGGAGTCATTCATACATTCTCATGTAGTTTTGCCAAGTAAGGGCTTCCCTGGATAGCTCCTTCTATAGTTTCAGTTTTATTTTTCTCTGAAGTCCATTGGCATTTGTATAGATGACAGCTTAGAGTTCTTTGAAGGGGACTGCTTTCTGGCATTAGTCTTTTCCTGATGATAAATTCACCTCTTGAAAAAGGGTGAAGTCACAACCCGGTTCCACCTTGAGAAGATAGGGAAACGAGCAGCTCAGCATTCAAAATTTGGTACACGAGTTTCATTTCACCGCCATCTGGTTCATCTACAATGAGAAAATGTATATTTATAAGTGCAAGATTTATATATTTCAGTGCTGGCTCACACACAAAAGAAGAAAATCTGCTTCCTACTATTTAATTTCTAGTGATATTAGAACCATCGTATTTCTATGTATTCAAATATACAGCAACTTTTTAAAATCCTGTTCTGATATTAAAGCCGTTAAATTTGCCTTGTTTCTTTTTTCAAAACCACAAACTTTTTTTAACACTGTACATCATTCTTACTATGTATTATTATAATGAAGTTGGCAGATCCAAGTGATTTCATCATTAGAGTTATATTAACAAAGAATTAAGTATAAATAAGGGCTTTTGAGTTACAATAAAGATATTCTCTTTTGACACTTATCATTAAAAGAAATATAATATTTTTATTTTAACTAATAACGTATGCACAAAATATATTAAAATTGTATATATGTGTATATATATTTTGGTTGAATTTTAGTTGAAGGTAGCTCTAGATAAAATCATTTTTTTCCAATGGATTTACCCTCATGTTTCTTAAATTCACATTTCTACAATCTACTTTTATATGCAGAAAAACTGGAGTCTATCAAGATTATAATTAAATGATAAATAAGACACATATCACTAAAATTCTCTACAGATTATATAATTAGTGGCTTCTGCTAAAACTAATTCATTAAAAAACAGCTTTTCTATGATGTGCGCAGTTATTGCTTGCAAGTTTGTATTTTGCAAAGCATTTTTTAAAAATTTTAGATATTTAGTTTTAAAATAGAAATTCAATTCCTTTGTGGGATCAAAATAAGCTATAACATCACCAACATTCTCACTTCTGCTTTTTGTGATAACTGTATTAAACTCCGCAGAGAAAAAAAACACTGAACAACGTTATTTTGAGTTGTTGGAAAACCACTACTTTTGACAGCTTTAGTGTACAATATATTTCATCAACCTGTGATATTTAAAAGCACAGGTTTGTGATTGACTACATAAGGAAGGGATTGTCGATTTGACTTCTGATTTTCTAGATTAGTTTGCTAATGGTAAAAACTCAAAATGCCCACTTTTTTCTTCCCGTCTGCCTTAGTCTCCTATTCATTTCTTATAATGGGGAGTGTTCTTTTAATCCTAAAGTTAATTTATTCTTTGAATCTGAATCTACTAGGGTCAGGTGGAAGAATTATTTATTTAGATACAGACAGAAGCAGAGAACACTGGGAGGAGAGAAGAAGTGAGAAAGGGAGGCGGGGCTAGAGGAGGAGAGGAGAGGACATCCAAGGAAATGTCTTTTCAGATACTTGTTAAAAGCCTGCGAAAAAGTAGAAACCATCTCAGAGAGAACTTTGACCTCCCTGTGTTATCACCCAGGTGTTTTGTTTTGTTTTGTTTTTACCCTCCATAGGGCACACTCTACAGACTTAGAACCTCCTGATAGCTCCCCAGAACTCCATTGTAGTTGGGATTTATGTCTCCCCCTCCTAGCTCAACTTTAAATTTTGAATAATTAGAAAGAATTCAAGTTGGGGTAACTCTGAAAAAGCCTAGATTACAAAAAGACAGGAGTGGAAGAATTGATTGTATTTAAGTGGATCCTATTCTAGAAGAAAGCTTGAGTTTATATTGACTGTAAGAATGCATCACGGGAAGCAACTCCAAAGAAATCTTGGAATGCTGAGTTTGATACAAATATTATGAATTTATTGAATGAAAAATTATTATCTTAAAAATGATTATCTTGAGCTTGCAGCATCATAAGAATGGCTGAATGAAACTGTTAGAAAAATATGCAATCAAAATTAGAACATGAATCTCTTAATTGGTATATGTGGAATAAGTAATATGACCTGTGGGGCCTGCAGCTGCTGTAGAACTGTGGCTTTTTTCTTAACTGTGCTAGTTGGTAAAGTCTGTGGTACATGCACACACGTTTTGGTAACTTAATATTTTGCTGAATGAATTGTAACAATGTAAATATTTCCCACCATTTACAAGTATTTTATGAAATCAGTTTTGGCTGAGCTGTGATATTCTATCAGAGGACACACAAAATAGTTCATTTAACTAATTGTCCAGATCTAAACCTTCAAGATTACTTCTATTTTTAATATTTTAAATAGTGTCTTCAGAAACATATTTATAGGTACATGACCATATATATAGATATGCTATATGTGTAAATCCCCAATAATTCACAGTTGGAATTTTTATAACTTTTTTACATTTTAGCAAAAGCATCTAAATCATAATATTAATATTTACTCTTTTTTATTTTCTATTTTTAAAAATCTCTTTGGTGAGTAGAATATGTTTTAAAGCCTAGAAAAGATAAAAGAAAACAAACCAGATTTTATGGTCTCAGGCCTTGATTGTATTATTCCATTCATATCATGCATATGGTACTAAAATCTATTTTCAAATCAGAATTAGACACTGATAATTAAGCCAATTTTAAGAAACACGAGGAATATTTTTTTCTATGAAGACCTCTTTCACATTTTCACTTATCCAAAGATTTCACTCTCACAGAATAGGTAAATACCAAATTGAAATCAAATATTCAAACCACATTAACAAAGAGAATTTTGAATCATCTCTTTGTTACAAGAACTATTTTCAGATATTTCATTACATTTACATTTCTGTTCACCTCTACAAAGACAAATTTATTTACTACATGAATTGATAGTCACACCACAATATGAATGTAAATTTACAAAAAAGTCTTTTTTTCTAAAGCATTTTGGATCTAAATTAAATATTAAAATTCATGCCCAGATTTTTTTCATAAAGCTGTCAACTTCTCCTTACCTTAAAAGTAAACTATGTGAGACAAGAAAAATAAAAGCTAGACAAAGAAACACCCAGCCAAGAATTCTGAATTGGAAGAACGACACACTGCTCCTCTATAGGGCTACAAATTGCATGGCTATAGTAACAGCAGCTACAACATAAAGACTTCTACCAGGTGCTGGTCATTTAATCTATGTTGATTATTTCTCCTGACACCTTGTCAAGGAGGCTATTATTATTACTTATAAATAAAGAGACTGAAGCACAGGATTCTTCCAACACTTTAACACCCCAAAGTACACCTGCAAAAATTAGTGGTTTTCCAACAACTCCCATAGTAAGTCATCAAGGTCTATAGGATTCTAGAATGTGTGTACATCTGACTGCTCCCCACTGTGTTCCAACTTGAAATTGGTGTAAATCCAGAACTATTGGCTGGCCAGGGAAAAATGCTTTGAAACCCTCATTGTGTCTCGAACTCTCCATAATAAAAGACAAGTCTTCTGCTTTCCCTGTTACTAGGGAAGCAAGTGTAGATTGTGATGAAATTAATTAACTTAGAGACCACTAGAAATGTGCACATCTAATAGCTGCTCAGTGTGCTTTTTTTTTATTTTAAGGATTTGTTTATTTTATTTTAAAGTCAGAATTACAGACAGAAAGAAATAGAGAGATATTCCATCCGCTGGTTCATTCATTCCCCAGATGGCCACAACAACCAGGGCTGGGCCAGGCCAAAGGCTGGAGCCTGGAACTCCATTTGGACCTCCCACCTGGGTACCAGGGGCTCAAGTACTTGGGTCATCTTCTGTTGCTTTTCCCAGGCCATTAGCAGGGAGCTGGATCAGAAGTGGAACAGCTGGGCCTTGAACTGGTGTCCCTATGAGATACCAGTGTCACAGGTGGCGGCTTTACCCTCTACACCACAACGCTGGCCCCTCAATGTGCTTCTTGAGTAGGTAACTAACGTAACCCTGAAAGGTATCTGGGATGCAAAGGGGGCTGGCACTCGCCTCCCTCACCTAGGTCCCTTCACCACCACCCTCAGGTCCCCGGGTGCTGCCTCCCTTGCCAGGCCAGCTGTCATGGTGTGCCCCACCCGACCCCTCTGGATGCTGAAAGGATGACGAGCAGGCTCTCCTGGAGATCCGGTCTGTGGGAGAACCTGGGAAATAAAACCAGAACTTTTGTCATTAACTTTAAGCTATCTTATCTCTTATGTTACATTACAAGATTTTCTCTTTCTGGATGTTGAATTGCATTCTAAAAAGAAAGGTCTACCAGCTCACTTGGCTAATCCTCCCTGTTGCGCTGGCACACGGGGTTCTAGTCCCAGTTGGGGGCCGGATTCTGTCCCGGTTGCCTCTCTTCCAGGCCAGCTCTCTGCTGTGGCCCGGGAATGCAGTGGAGGATGGCCCAAGTGTTTGGGCCCTGCACCTGCAAGGGAGACCAGGAGAAGCACCTGGCTCCTGGCTTCGGATCGGCACAGCGCGCCTGCCGCAGCGGCCATTTGGGGGATGAGCCAAAAAGAAGGAAGACCTTTCTTTCTGTCTCTCTCTCTCTCTCACTGTCTAACTCTGCCTTTCAAAAAAAAAAAAAAAAAGGTCCTCTTGCTGTCATTTGGGGTAGAGACTGGCCTTCGGGGTGAGGGAAGTGATCCAAAGAGAAGGTTTGTGGAGTTGGGGTTAGAGACTGCTTTTTATAAACTGCTTTAAGCCAGACACCCAGTGCATATTCCCCAAACCATAACAAGGAATGATTGGGGCAGGAAAGTCCTCTTTTCCTAAACAGGTTGGTGGGTTGCCTATCAGGATCCAGTCTCACACTCATTTGCAAACAGGACTGTTCCTGTTGAGAAGGGAAAGATTGAAGAGGCGTTAATGCCTCATCCCAAAGCCTTCAGGGAGGGAGGAGGTAGGATGGTACTGTGATTTTATTTAAGTTCTTTCCTCTCCGGATCTCTACAATGACTCAGAAAAATCCAGTCCCAATCAACCCATATTTGCAATTTCTTTTTCTCATTCTAATTATTCACTAAAACAAAACACTATATTCATCTGATACATTTAGTTATTTAGATAACTAAGATATGACTTAGTCCTAGAGGATGTTACCATTTAAACAAGAAAAAGAAATGCAAATAGGGAAATCAGTAATGCTTCAAAACTGTTGATTGATTAATGTGTGTTCTATTTTCCCTACGTTCTGATAGGTGAGCCTTGGAGTGTGTGCGGTTGGGAGAGTTCACTCCTTCGGGCTGTGATGTTTCTGTGACAAAGAGAAAGTCAGTATTCATCCTGTGGCCTTCAAAACAGGCTCTTGAAGGCACACAAGCTGGGAGAGCAGTGTGCTCTGCAGGCAGCGCCAGTACCTCTTCTTCCCTCCTTCCCCCCTCCCCTCCTCAGAGAGCCCCTAGAGTTTTTGCTGAACCCACAGCTGCTCACTGTGCAGGCTTTGATTCCCTGCTCTTCCTGTCTCTGTTTCTGAGTTTGGCATCTTCCCTTTGCTTCTTGGCCTCAATCGTTTCTACCTTGCTGTCCCAGCACGACAGTGTACACACAGCTGGACATCTTTCCCAAAGAATCTACTGCTTTCCTAAGATGTGCTTATTTATTTATTTATTTATTTGAAAACCAGAGGTGCAGAGATGAGAAAGAGAGAGAGAGAGAGAGATCTTCCATCCTCTCGTTTGTTCCCCAAATGTCCACACTGTCAGGGTTGGGCAAGGCCTCAGTCAGAAGCCTGTAACTCTGTACTAGTCTCCCACACAGGTGGCAGGGCCCACTGCTTTCCCAGGCTCATTAACAGGGAGCTGGATTGGAAGTGGAGCAACTGGGACTCGAACTGGTGCTCATATGCTCATATGAGATGCTGGTCACATTTGTTGGGAATTAACCTGTTATGCCACAACACCATCCCCAAGAATCCTCTTTTTGTCTTAGAAACTAAAGCTTATTAATTCCTTCTCCATAAAGTAGTCCAACCTCATCCTTTTCTTCAGTGAACCTACTCAAGATCCTAGTTCATATGTTCTGCACAGATAAGGGCTTAGACATGACATATAAGTTATTGCAGCTCAATAGGCTAATCCTCCGCCTGCGGCGCCGGCACCCCAGGTTCTGGTCCCGGTCGGGACGCCTGGTTGCTCCTCTTCCAGTCCAGCTCTGCTGTGGTCTGGGAGTGCAGTGGAGGATGGCCTAGGTCCTTGGGCCCTGCTGTGGCCTGGGAGTGCAGTGGAAGATGGTCCTTGGGCCCTGCACCTGCATGGGAGACCAGGAGGAAGCACCTGGCTCCAGGCTTTGGATTGGTGCAGCGCGCCTGCCATAGTGGCCACTTGGGGATGAACCAATGGAAAAAAGGAAGACCTTTCTCTCTGTCTCTCTCTCTCTCTCACTGTCTAACTCTGCCTGTCAAAAAATTTGAAGATTTATCATTACTGAATTAATAAAATCAGCAATCATCACTATCTTACTTAAATGATATCCTTAGTTGATATATCAAATTACTTAACTGGGTCTAATTTTACTAAGTTTGCTGACCAGTTTACCTTAATAAAAATCTGTCTCTTGAGTCCAATGTTGTGGTGCAGTGGGTTAAGCCACCACCTGTGTTGCCAGCATCCCATATGGGTGCTGGTTTGTGTCCTGGCTGTTCCAAGTCCAATTCAGTTCCTTGCTATTGACCTGGTAAAGCAGCAGAAAATGGCCCAAGTGCTTGTCCCCCACCATCCATGTGGAAAACTCAGCGCTCCTGTCTTCAGCTTGCATCAGCTCCAGCCACTGTGGCCATCTAGGGAGGGAACCAGCAGATGGAAGACGTCTCCCTCTCTCTCTCTCTCTCTCACCTCTCTCTCTGTAACTGTGATTTTCAAATAAATAAATAAAATCTTAAAAATGTTAAAAATTAAATAGTCTGTCTCTAGGAAACAAAATTATATCAGAAATTGAACTTATGAAGCATATGTTACTAATAACATAATATGAACCATATTACTAAATGTGACAAAGCTGACATTAGCTGACAGGTACAAACTGAGTTAATTAAGTGTTAATAATAATAAATTGAAACTGTATTTAAATATGTGATCTAGTGAAACTTTCCTATCTGTAAAAATCTGTGTTCTTGCTGGTCTCAAAAGAGATAAATTTCTGTTGCTTAGGACAATGTAATAACTAATTCACGATGAGGGTTTCCTGTCCTCAGTCAGCAGTGGTATCCTCTGTATCATGTATCACATGTTCATTAACATTAACATACATGCTCATTAAACGTGTATCACAGTTCATTAACATAGTGAAGCATTGATTTATGATTCTAAAAATACAGAAAATATTCACATAACTCATAGAAAAAGTGAGAATATCTTAACTATTAAGAAAAGTATTGAGTGTGTGCATGTGTGTACATATTCTAGCATGAAATGCCGAAAGTAAATGATTTAGATACAGAGGCCATACTGGTGTACTTGCAGACTAATTCAGTCTACAGACATGAAATCATACTTTGTTTTGCCCATGGTGTTTTTTAAATTATTGCTAATGGGGCCAGGGTGAAGCCATGTACTCAGAACTCAATCCAGGTCTCTGATTTGGGTGGCAAGGACCCAGTGCTTGAGCCATCACCTGTTGACTTCCAGGAAGCTGGATTGAAGAGTGAAGCTGGGACTCGAACCCAGGCACTTGGATATGGGACACAGGCATCCAAGTACAACTTACTCATGGGTCAAACACCTATCCCCAGCTCATAGTGTTTTAAACAAGGGGCCACGTCAGGTAAAAAGTCTGGATTTTAAACTATATTTTGGAAAATCAGGCAACAGTGGGCATACCCACATAACAGAAATTGGTTATGTCTGAGTAGGAACTATCCTGTTAAATATATTACAGGCACTCCAATTCGCCATGACTTTCCCTAATAATACTCTATTCTAGCTCACTTCACTCATTTGTGCAACCTACCTGGCCCCTCTTCCCTGAAGATCTGAGTGTTTCACTTCTGTTCCAAACATTCAAAGCAGGCCGGAACAGAAATGTATAAAGGATAATGAAGACCAGAGTATCCAATGAATGTTTCATATATAAAAGGATTTAATCTTTGAATTTAAAGGTGACTTTAAATTGAAGGGATAATAAAAGGAGAAAGGAGTATTCTTAGTAAAGGAATATAAGATCAGTGAAGATATCTAGGCAGGAATGATCATTGAACCTGCACTTCAAATATTGGGTAGACAGATAAGAGAGAGGGAAGCAACACAATCAAAGTGCTAATGCACTGAACATGATAGGTAAGTAGGTGTTTGTAAAAAACTGGACCCAGAGGATCAGGTTGGTAGTGGTGGAGTAATTAGGTGTTAAGTAAGAAGAAAGTCCTAACTGGAGGTTTGTAGCCATGCAGAAGGAAGGACAGGCTACAGGTGAGATATTCTGGAGGACAAAGCCACTGCCCCTGAAAACCACTTTCCTAGCATCAGTTATAGGTCGAACAATTGTAGGTAGATGGCTACCCTGACTTTAAAATACTAGGTGTATTTGATTCATAAAATAGTTCAGTTTGGGGCCAGCACTGTGGCGCAGTGGATTAACGCTTTGGCCTGAAGTGCCAGCATCCCATGTGGGCGCCGGGTTCTAGTCCCTGCTGCTCCACTTCTGATCCAGCTTTCTACTATGGCCTGGGAAAGCAGTAGAAGATGGCCAAGTCCTTGGGTTTCTGAGCCCACATGGGAGACTTGGAGGAAGCTCCCAGCTCCTGGCTTCAGATCGGCGCAGCTCTGGCTGTTGAGGCCAATTGGGGAGTGAACCATTAAATGGAAGACCTCTCTTTCTGCCTCTCTTCTCTCTGTGTAACTCTTTCAAATAAATAAATAAATTTTTTAAAAAATAGTATTCAGTCCATCTTGCAATTAAATTTGTTTTTCATACTTTTTTGCCTTTTATTACTCTTCATTTAATTAAAATGATTTCTCTTTTGAAGTGTCCAAGCCCTTTTCTTTTTTTTTTTATTTTTTTTTTAAACTTTTATTTAATGCATATAAATTTCCAAAGTACGACTTATGGATTACAATGGCTTTCCCCCCATACCGTCCCTCCCACCCACAACCCTCCCCTTTCCCACTCCCTCTCCCCTTCCATTCACATCAAGATTCATTTTCGATTATCTTAATATACA